TGTCCTTGTTTGTGGATGATCTTTTTTTTGGAGCTCTAACAGTAATATACTATGTATGCCCCATTTTTTCAAAGGGAAAAGGGCCAAAATGGACACTGAGGTTTTTAACGAAGTGCGTATTGGACATTAAGGTTTTTTTGAGATCAAATAAACATCGAATTAAACTTTTCAGACCTCATCACCCACCCCCTAACATTTCCCGTTAACAGTTTCTCTTCCCCGTTATCACCCTGCGATTAGAAACTCCCAAATTGAAATTTCTAACCCTAACTCACTTCCATGGCTAATAAGTGTGAGATTGTGCGAGTGAGTTGAGAAGATTAGAAGGTGTTCAACTGCACGACCAAGGTTACAATACGTACGACTAATCTGAGGTAATCTTTCAGTGTTGTTTTTGTTTGTTACAATGAATGGGTTGGTTAATCTCAGATTTAACCATAGCGGGAGGTGGGTTATGAAACCAAAGTTACAGTATGTGAATGGGGACGCTGATACAGTTTATGGGTTTGACCATGATTTTATGTGTTATCATGACATTTCAAGAAAATACAAGGATGACTTGGGGTTTAAAACATTGAAAAATATATATGTTTTAGAACCTGGAAAGGATTTGGACAATGGACTTTTCTTAGTTCAGGATGATGACACTATAAGGAAAGTGTTAAATCGTATAAGGAGATTTTCTTGGATTGATACTATAGAGCTATATGCTGACCATCAACTGGACGAACCCATTTTGATTCCCCTGATAGAAGGTTCATTTTCTGAAATTGGTAACCATGAGATTGGTAATGAGAATGATGGTGGGGTGGGTGATGAGTCTGCCAATACAGATTGGAGAGACCAAAGTGATGAAGTGAATACAAGTGGTTTCCCAAATGGGTATGTTACAGATGAAGAATCAAATAGAGGCTCAGAAGATGAAGAGAGCAACAATTCTGATCCATCCTCTGATAATGATGATACAATCAATTACAATGCAACAGATGGGTCAGATTGTTTTATGAATGGAATGACCTTTGCAGATGCTGAAGAGGCTAGGACTGCAATTGCTAATTATGGTGTTAAATATGGTTACAAGCTGAAAATCAAACCAAATGAGAAGAATAGATTGGCTGTTAAATGTGTGAATGAGGAAGGCTGCCCATTTAGATTATGGATTTCTCAAGATGGGAAGAACTATGGGTTGGCAGTGAAGATTTGTAACACTGAGCATAAGTGTTTCCGACACTATTCTATTCCTAGTGCTACTCAAAAGTGGCTTGCAAATTACTTTAAAGGGCACCTGGAGAGAAATCCTAGCTTTCGAGTTGCTGACATGAAAGAGGAGGCAGAGAAGAAGTTGAAGAAAAATGTTAGCTTGTATAAATGTAAAAGGGCTAAAAGATTGATTATTCAAGAAATGGATGGTAGTTATAAGGCTGAGTTTGGGTACCTAGAAGCATATGCTGCCACATTAAAGAGGATTAATCCAGGTTCAAAAGCTGAAATTGAACTCTGCAGTGAAAAATTGAAAGAAGGGAGGAGAGTATTCAAGAGAATGTTTGTATGCTTTGCTGCTTTGAGGCAGAACTGGCTGGCTGGCTGTAGAAGAATCATTGGTGTGGATGGTTGCTTTCTAAAGGGTGTTTGTAAGGGTAATCTGCTGAGTGCAGTGGGGTTGGATGGAAATAGGCAGATGGTCCCTATAGCATGGGCTATCATTGATAAAGAAAATAAGTCTAATTGGAGGTGGTTTTTGAGTTGGCTTGTTCAGGAGCTAGACCTGAATACTGGTGGTGAGTTAACACTTATTTCTGATATGCAAAAGGGGCTGATTAGTGTTGCTCAAGAGGTCATACCAGATGCAGAGAATAGGTTCTGTGCCCGACATGTGTATGCTAATTGGTCAAAAAAATGGAGAGGCAATGAGTTTTGCAAAAAAAATTGGATTTGTTCCTGGAGCACATATGAAGAAGAGCTACAGCTGAATCTTAAAAAGCTTGGAAAATTGAGCACTGAAGCTGCTTCTGACCTTTTGAAGTATCCAGTTCAAACTTGGTGTAGAGCATACTTTAGTAATAGGTGTTCATGTTGGATGGTTGATAATAACATCACAAAGTCCTTCAATTCATGGATCCGGGAAGCTAGGTCAAAACCTATTGTAACCATGCTAGAAGATATACGATTGAAGGCAATGAAAAGAATTTCACAGTTCAAGACAAATCATGATAAGTGGATAAACGATTGGTCTCCCTTTATGCATGGAGTACTATCAAGACAATAAGGAGGCTGCTAGTGGTTGCAATGTTATATTTAATGGGGATGTGGGGTTTGAGATTGGAGAGGGGACATATAAGCACACAGTTGTGTTGGATAAGATGGTCTGCACTTGTAGAGCATGGGAACTGATTGGAATACCATGCTTACATGCCATATGTGCTTTCTATTATAGGAAGGTAGATCCTATCACCTACATTTCAAGATGGTATCACAAGGAGACTTATATGGCAGCATATGCAAATGCTTTGCAACCGGTACCTGGAAAAGCTTTCATGAAGGTTGATGATTATGAACCCATTTTACCTCCCCCAGTGCCAAACCTACCTGGCAGATCAAAGAAGAACAAGGTTAGATCATCTTCTGAGGTCAAAGGATCTGGAAGTGCTTCTACATTTGCCAGTGTTACACCTCAGACATCATCAAGAAAAGGGAGACTACAAACTTGTGGGATATGCCATAAGGAGGGCCATAAGAGAGCTACATGTCCTAATAAAGATAAAGGTGTAAGTAGTACATGACTTTGAAGATGTAAACTGCAATATTGATTTATTGTGTTTTCATGAGTTTTTTTTATCTTTTTCTTAGGCAAGTGTTGAAGGAGCAGAAGGGAATGGACCTATACCTGTGAAGAGACCTGCTAGTGTTGCTTTTTCATCAATTCCTACCACCACAGAATCAGCTCCACCAACAAATCCACACACTAATGCTAAAAGGAGTACTGGTAAGTCTAAAGTCACATGTAGAATAATAGCAAGGAATATAAGTAAACAATCTGTAACATGCTTTGGGTGCCATGTGGATGTGAACACTGGGGAGAAGACTTTAAATGTGAGTATCAATAGGTTTGCAGTGTTATGTAAGTGGTTTAGTTTGTTGATGTATTGAAATAAGTTTTCTTATTTCTAATTTTACCTTCATGTACTTGTTTATGCTTGTAGCCTGGGATGAGCAGTGAGGAAATAGTTTCAGATTTCCAGCCTGAAATGCCACATGACCCTGATGTTACAGTCAGATTTGCAATCCCAAATGAAAAAGATATCAGAGGAGCTGCCCGGGCTGAGAAGCAGTTGGATGTGCCAACATATAGAACAATACCTTTCAAGGGTGATGGTACAGAGGTGCATAATCCACCAAACCTACCTTTTCAACCACCTGGTTTGCAATGGAATGGGAATGCAGCAATCAGCTCTAGGCAGTTGTTACAGAAGATGCAGATCGGGAGGTCGGGTTCCATTCCAAAGTGAACATGTTGAAGCAAGACTTCAAATATGGATGAATGAAGACTCATATGTTTCATTAGAACACTTTTGGGCACTTTGTATTTATTAGCTTATTAGCTTTTTGCAATGTAGTCGTTTGAAGACTCACTGAAAGCTTAGGTGTTTTGTATGCAGTTTTACTACTTCTGGCACTATAAGGAACTGACTGCAATTTTGGGGTGCTAAATTAGGGCTTATAATGCTTTTTTTGTATTTTGTAACATCATTAACAATCAGTATTATGATCCCTAATGATGTGAAGTTATGATATAAGTTCTTTTTTTGTTTATATATGTTGTTTATTCATGTATTACTCTGTAATAAATATACCAATGTTGGCATGAGGGCTTTCTTCTACAGATTGTATTGTGGTTATGGTATTGGCTCTGATTTCAAACTGCTCTCAAATTGGTGTTATCAGTACACTACTTCATTTGTGGTGTTATCAGTACACTGTTCTCAAACATAGTAATAATCCAGACCAACTTATTAAAAAATTCTAACAACAACTTGTATTTTCATATTAAAAACCAAACCAAAGTGTTAAATTAAATTCAAATTCTAACAGCAACATGTATTCAAATTCAAACTGTTTACAAGGTCATAACCAAACCATTTGACAAGAAACTGAAACTAACATACTAACACACATAATACTACAATAAGGACACATAACAACACTACAATAACATAATTCTTCTTCATTTTAGTTTTGCTTTCCAATTCCAGATGGGCTGCATCATTCATACTGTTGACTTCTTCAACTTCACTCTCCAACTTTTGAGCAACACTATCACATTCCAATTCAAACATTGCAAATTGCAGCCTCCTATTCTCCCGTTTGAGCTCATTGATAACATGCCTTGCTCTGTCCATTAATGGCTCATCATGCCATTCAAAGAAGCCACATCCATCCCTCTGAGTATACACAAGAGTATGAATATGTATAATATAGATAAATTATACATATTCATGATCTTCTCCAGTTCTCATATGTGAAAAGAACAATTAAAAGCATACCTCATAATTAGGACATCCATGAAATCTTCTCCCTGGATTCTTGTCAGTCCATGAAGTCCAAAGTGGCGCCTTGACGCGAGTTCCATTTGCATTCATGCATCTGCAAAACCTAGAACGCCCAGAATACGGTCGCTCATAGATGCTTCGAAGCTTCACTGAATCACCGGACTCAGATTTCCGTGCCTCAGACGACCTCGATGCTGAAGGAGTAGCCGACATCACTGCTTTCTTCTTCGTAATCTGTCTGAGATTGTATTTATTAGGTATATATCAATTAGGGTTGTTGTATATTTGGGAGATTCTAATCGCAAGGTGATAACGGGGAAGAGAAGCCGTTAAAGGGAAATGTTAGGGGGTGGGCGATGAGGTCTGAAAAGTTTAAGTTGGTGTTTATTTGATCTCAAAAAAACCTTAATGTCTAATAGGCTCTTTATTAAAAAACTCAGTGCCCATTTTGGTCCTTTTCCCTTTTTTTTCAAATAGTATTATCCCTCTACCCGCACATTGCTTCCTCATCGCTGGTCTATGCTTTGTTAAGTTAGGGTTTTAGAGTTTTCCTTTCCCGTTCTCCCCTCTTGAGGATGGCCGGAATGAAACTGACGCCAGAAGAATCCGATTTCACGCAGGTCAGGCCGACAGCAGCGGCCGACCTAATTTCAGATGACGACCGATCCGTGGCCGCGGACTCTTGGTCTATAAAGAGTGAATACGGGAGCACCCTCGACGACGAGCAGCGTCACGCTGATGCCGCTGAAGCCCTTTCCGCGGCTAGTTACAGAGCCGCGTCTGATTACAGGTTTCGCTCCTCGCTCTGAATGACGATATTTCTGCTGTATATTCCGTGAAATGAGGAACATCGGCTTTTATGTTCTCTAAAATAATTAAAGTTTCATTTCAAGTAGACAGAAAATTTCAGAATCTGGAATAAATCTCGTGGAATGTCGTTGCTGTAAACTATTCAAACCATTTCATGCTTCTAGTTTGCTTGCTATTATCTATTTTGAACGATAAAATCATCATTCTTCATACGAATTTAAGAGAAAGAAGGTATCATAGCATAGGTTAGGCTTAGGAGTTATTAGAATATGTAATGGATATAAAGGCCCGTGCTACTGATCTCCACTAGATGGGGCTTTTTGGACTGAGATGTGTGAGCATAATGCTTTTTGATCTTTAACTTTAGTAGTTTAGAGATATATTCTTCATTGGTAAATTGTGATTTATGAGCTACCTAATTGGAAATGGATGAATGTGATTTTGCATGAACTGTTGTCTTTGATGCACTTTAATGTGCATTGTTTAACTAGATGCAATGTATACATTTTGTCTTTGCAGTTCTGATAAAGAAGATCAAGATGCCGATGGCGTTTCCTCAATGCTTGGTTTCCAGACTCATTGGGATGCCACCTATGCGGATGAATTGGCAAATTTTAGAGAACATGGCCATACTGGTGAAATTTGGTAAGTACTTGTAAAGCTAGAGTCAGTATATCGTGAAACTTCAACGCATTGTTTCAAATTGCACAATGCAATAGCGCAATGAGGCGCGCCTCATGTATATTCTAGAGCAGGGCGCATAATTGCATTGCTAAAGGCGGTACTGTAGAAAAGGTCACAATATGGCGCAGAGGCGTATGCCTTCTGTGATGCGCAGCAAGGCGTCCTGAGGCGATCGCCTTAGTTTGGTGTTTAAGTAGACATGTGGGCTGATAGAGCCCACTTTTTATTTTTAAGTTAGCAAAAACAAGCGTGTACCCTATTCCCCTTGAACTGGTTGCCGACCTGCTTTGGTGTTTCACCCTTTGTCAATCATTAACAGAAGATAGGTTGTTGCTTCTTCATTGCGCATCACAGGTGTGCAGAAAACCTGCGTTCCTACTTCTTCATCTGATAAAGTTTTAGTAATAGGCGGAAGTAGCAATGGGCGGAAGTTTCAAGTTTCATCTGCTTCTCATTCAACTTCAATGTTGTAGTTAGTAATATATGATTGTCAATTTGTCATACTACGTATATTAATGTCATGTTTTTAATCTTGATTTTAGTTTATTGATTATTTTCCATCATTTTAAAATAGAAAGCTTAGTTTAAAAAAGCGCGAGGCGCTTGTAGGCGAAAGGTTCATCGCTTTTTACTTACCTAGGCGGTGCAGGGTCTGAGAGGCGAGCGCCTTTTACGCTTATTAGCGCGTTTTGCGCTACTGAGAGGCGAGCGCCTTTGACTCCCCATGGAATTATCTTGCGTAGCTCTGAGCCCTTCCGAGTTTTGACTTATCTTGCGCTGCTCTCGCGTCTTAGAGGTAGGTCTTTCTTTTTGTCTTCTGCTATTTTATCTTCTGCCTAAGTATTTTAAATTCTCTTTTATTTTCTGCTTAAGTATTTTAAATTCTCTTTTATCTTCTGCGTAAGTATTTTAAATTCCTTTTTATTTTAAGTTCTTATATTTATAAAAATATTAAAATTATTTAAGTAAAAAGTTAGATAACTGATGCATATGTAGCATTATCTTTCACTATTTATAAGTTTTGATAGATTATAGATATTATTATTAACATTTTTTAACAATTTTTTTATCTAACAGTTTATAACATTAATTATTTAAATTACTATTAACAGTTTTTATATAACTTAATTATTTAATTTATCACAAAATGACTATTAATTGTTTATTACATTAGTTTGAAGTATTTTTGAGAACAGTGCTTCATGTAGAAGTACTAAAAATATATTTAACCAAGGAAATGTGGCTGAGATCCGTGAGGCGTGCGCCTCACCGCCTCACTGCCTAGCGCTTCGCGCCTCAGGTAAATCAAAGAAATCGCCTCAAGGTGCCTCTTGCCTTTTAAAACCAAGATAGAAAGTTAATTCTACATACTTGTATTATCTTAATTTTAATATTAATATTCTGTTAATAATATCTAAATTTTCTATTCATTTCATTTCATTTTCATTTACCCCAGTGCCGCAAATGCTCCCACCTACCGTGAGGTAAGTGGAGGTCGGATGTACGCAGTCTTACCCCTGTACTAAAGCACAGAGAGACTGTTTCCGGATGACCCATAGTGAAAATCCTGTCCAAAATTGCATGGACTGACTGCTGCTTCATAACAAAGAAGCACAGACAGTTTAGTGAGCCATTTTGCTTTATTCCATCATAATCTCAAGCCAAAAAATAATGAATCTTTGGCTCCATTGCAAATGATGGAAACAAATATCTAAATTTTGTGTTAATGTGAAATTTGTTAATATTATCTTAATTATCTCTTAAGTCATCAATATGATAATCTTACAATTATAGAATGGTTTGAATTTTGAACGTATTACTTTACTATGATTATGTCCTTATTATATTATTTTTAATTGTCTATATAAACACACACACATATAATTTACGCCTCAGGCCTACTCCTCATTGCGTAATGATGCTCACGCAATATGCAATAACAAAAAAATGCCACAATTTTTCAATGCGCAATTTCAAACCTTGCTTCAATGACACATTGAGTTGGTCAGTTGGTCTAGACCTGCTAATCTTCGTAAGTTCCTGCTCAATTGGTAGTAGGTTTCAGTGGGTTAGAAGTTTTCCTTTGTAAGATTTAGTAGTTAGCACTGAGCACACACTATTTGTTGTACATGCTAGTTGGTTCAAGTAAGGAGCATCATCCTTGTGGATGTATTTACTAATGTTATAATTGTTGTTGTTTCTGCTGCTCTTATTTATATGTTGTTTGACCATCTTTGTAGGTTTGGTGCTGATGTAATGGAAACTGTTGGTTCCTGGACCAAAAGCTTGTGCATTGATATCACCCTAGGTCACTTTCCAAATCAGATAGGAAATAGCAGTTCAGGTCCTGCTGGGCATTATGAAAAAGATTTGTCGAAATGGAGTGTGCTGGATATTGGGACTGGAAATGGCTTGCTTCTTCAAGAGCTTGCTAAACAGGGGTAAGTTTTAGCTTCTGTCACTACAGGTTTTATTATGTAATGGATATTGTACTCCTATACCTGCCCTTGAGGGTCACAAAATGCTGCAGTCTTCACAGAGGATATTGAGAAGTGTCATTTTCTATCATATAAAAAATGTAAATATACCGCTCTTTAGAGGTCAGTAGATCACTAATTATATGGTTACATTGGATTAGGTTCTCTGATCTCACTGGAACTGATTATAGTGAAGGAGCAATTGACCTTGCTCGTAATCTTGCTGATCGTGATGGTTTTTCTGAGATCAAATTCTTGGTAATTTTTACCCATTTTTAACTCTATGCACTTGAAACTTTTCCATCTGTGAAATCTTACCTCATTCATGCTTATTACCAAGTACCATTCCTCAATTAAATGGCCTTTTAAATTCATATTACTATGTCATGTGGCATGTAAAATGGCTTCTTATTTGAAACAATCTAATGAGAAACCCTTTGTCTCATAGAAACTGAACATTGAAATAACTGTATCACTACTCTCTTAATTGGTATGGCAGCATCCAGTGATGTAATACAAGTGCCTAATGACTATATTTGTTATCTCTTGAGATAATCTGCTATTTTCCATTTTACTAACTGAATAAGCAATTGACATTGCATTTTGCCTGATTTCCAGGTTGATGATGTTCTTGAAACAAAGTTAGATAGGAAGTTTCATCTTGTTATGGATAAAGGTACTTTAGATGCCATTGGATTGCATCCTGACGGGCCTATCAAAAGGTGATACAGCCATATAAGATGTGTGCATATTTGTTTTTTCTTACATGTTAACTTTTGTTTCACTTTTGAAAACTGTAGTGCATCTTATCATTTTCTTTTTCAGGATCATGTACTGGGAATCAGTCTTAAAACTTGTAGCTCCTGGTGGGTTATTGGTAAGCTCTTTTTCTTTTCCTCAGACGTGACGATAATCCTTCTCCATAACAGCTTTCAATTCTTCAACTGTTCACTTCCATTTTCATTTCATTTTCATTTACCCCAGTGCCGCAAAGGGGGGTCGGATGTACGCAGTCTTACCCTTGTACTAAAGCACAGAGAGACTGTTTCCGGATGGCCCACAGTGAAAATCCCGTCCAAAATTGCATGGACTGACTGCTGCTTCATAACAAAGAAGCGCAGACAGTTTAGTGAGCCATTTTGCTTTATTCCATCATAATCTCAAGCCAAAAAATAATGAATCTTTGGCTCCATTGCAAATGATGTAATTCAACTGTTCACTTGCATAGTTGCATAAAATCTCAAATGGGAGCATTCCTACCAGAATCTTTTTTTTATGTCTGTGTGTAGGGGGCGGATAAGGTACAAACTGTGCTTATTGTGCAAACCTTTGTACGCTGCATCTTTACGTTATTTGTATTGCATATTGAGGTTCAAAGTGTTGCATATTATTTAGCCATAGAATAGCAGTTGCATATTAATGATCAATGAGTTGCATCCTAAAAAAGTTGGCTTTTATTACAAAAATGTCACTGAGCCTTTATAGCCTTTAGATCAACTCATCTCATCGGATGGCCAAGATGAGTTTGTAGTTTGTAAATTAAGGAGGGTTTGTATTTGATCTCTATTCTATGTGTGTGTATTTCACTGTTTGCTGGTGTGATTATTGCAGGTAATCACATCATGTAACAGTACGAAAGATGAATTGGTAGAAGAGGTGTCTGCATTGAATCAAAGAAGAAACCCTGTCAGTCAAGAATCGGAGGAGAATCAAGAGCAGCAGGAAACCCCCAGAGATACCCCTCCATTCCGCTACCTTGATCATGTTCGATCTTATCCAACATTCATGTTCGGAGGATCCATAGGATCTCGTGTTGCCACAGCTGCATTCCTAAAAGAACTTTCATCTATTTGAGTGAATCTGACTTGCAATGCTCCTATTCATTTCTATGTATTCTACATTGATATTCAGTGTTTTATTATACTGTTCAGACTGTTTGGCTGCCAAATGCTACCACTTTATATAAACTGAAAATAGTAGTAGCATCATTGTTTAATTGCACCACATGGTCCTAGGAATATCTTGCTCGGTTGGAATTTTTCCCTGCGGCATAGAATAGTTAGGTCCCCCCGTCCCTGGGTGGTAGATTGCACTGATGACATTGGATCGTGTACAGGCAACCTTTAGGCGTTTTCACCCTCGTTTGGCAGTAGTGACTTTTTGTGCCATTTCAAATTGGTCTTGCTTCTGAACTTCCTCAAGGGATCTTTGACTGTAGGGTCTGTCGCTTTGGTTCAACACCCACCAATTAATCCTTAAGAATAGGGGTGGAAAGGCCTGCTTTCGGTCGTTGGACTGGTCGGTCCTTCCATTTGGATTCACCTTCCATCTCTACTCTTCGAGTAAACCTATCAATAGTGAAGTGGTGAAGTATGTAGAATTAATTTCATCATCTCATCTTCCCGTTTTGTGCTAATTTCTTGCAAAGTCCAAGTTTTTCTCCTTTTCTCTGAAAATATTGAATTGATTAATATTTGCCGGTAGGGATGGACTCGGGTTGGGTGGCCCGACCCGGAACCGGACCGGGACCGGTACTGTTCCGGCCCAGCCCGACCCGGTGGCCCGGTCAGTGACCGGTCCGGGTAGGCCCGGCTCGTGGGTTTTCCGGTCCGGGCTCGGGTCACCCAAAACAAGGTCCGACTCGGCCGGGCCCGGGCCCGGTTCGGGCCAAAAACTATTTTTTTTTTCTTCAATTTTTTTTTAAATTTTCGGGTTGGGCTGAGTATTTTGGGCCATTTGGGGTGGTTTGGGGGTTGGGGGTGGGATGGGGGTTAATTAGGAAGAGGAAAAAAAAATATAATTGATAGAGTATATCTAGAGAGAAGTGAGAGCTAGAGAGAGAAGTGCAATAATATGCTTCAATAGAATGATTTTGTAACCCTGATGATTACCTCCAGAGGAAGTATTTATAGGGAAAATACGGGTTGGGCTCCCAAGCCTTGGGCTTGGGAGGCCCATTTACAACTAGACCGCTACTGGACCGAATACAAAGCCACTAATGGGCTGTACAAATGAGTAAGTATGAAATCTGGTTCTGTGAGGTCTTCGTGGCCGACGAGGGCGTGGCCGACGAGGGCACGACCGACGAGGGCACGCACGACGAGGGCACCCGGGTTCCTTGGCTTCAGGACCATATTCTGAGTTGGTACCTTTCCGGCCGACGGGGGTCCCTTGGCCGACGAGGGCACCACTCAGTGTCTTGTGCTTTCTGTTCTTCTGAGTATGTGGGTCCTGGGGCTCAGACCCATATACTCCATCAGGAGTCCCCCACTCTCTAAGGTGAGACGTAGATGAAGTGAAGGAGAGTAGATTCCCGTGCTTTGGTGCTTTTGGCCGATGCGGGCACTCCCAGGCCGTTGGCTGTTGCGGCGTTGGCGCTGTTTCCATTTTGGTGATCTTGTTCCGTGCTTGGCCGTTACCTGCTCCTCGCTGTGGACGGGGAGGCCGTTGTTTCCTTGGTGTGTTCGTTTGGGGACGATGAGTGTCCTGCTTCGATGGTGGCCGTTGAAGGCGCGTTTTCCCTTTCTTGGACGTTGATGATTGAGATTTATATTTGGGCCGATGAGGCCGTTGAGGTTGAACCTTGCTTCGAGGACGATGGCCGATGAGGGTGCTTGCGCACTCCTTTTGGCCGTCGCTGATTGGCTTTCGTGTTCTTGGCCGAAGAGCCCATTATGATTAATTGTTGGCGGAGGACGATGAATGTCCTTGCCTTAGGTGGCCTGTTGGCCGTTGCTGATGGTGTTATGTGCCTTTGGCCGACGAGGCGCCGTGTTGTCCAAAGTACCTGGCCGGAGATGGAGTCACGCAAACCTTGGCGCCGTTGTGATACATGGACGATGTGGCCATGCTTTGTGGTTACATTTGTGTTCTTTGCATTTTTCCTTTGTCTGTATTGTTGAGGCCGATGTAGTCCCCCAGTCCCCCACTGCTTCAGGCCGAAGAGTGTGAGGGGTGAAGGAGTTGCTTGAGTCCCTGGCCGAAGCGGCCTCTCCGTAGTGCCCCTGAATCCAACCCTTATGGTGATTTTCTGGCCAAGGTAACCCTGTGGGAGAACCCTTGTGCGCAGATCGCTTGTAAAGAGTTATCATCAGGGGTCGTTACGAAGGCCGATGGCTGCGGGTTTTTTGTTCCTTTGGTTCTGTGGCCGTTACGGGCATTCATGACGTTCCTAGCCGTTGTCATCTCCTTATCGCTGTGGAGGCATTGGGTGCCTTGGCCGTTGCGGGCGCTTTGCTGGCATTATGAAGCCGTCAAGCGTATAGGCCGTTGTGGGTGCTTTGCTGGCATTTGTGAAGCCGACAAGCGTATAGGCCGTTGTGGGCGTTCGTTGTCCATGTGATCCGTAGGGTTTTACTCCGCCGGTAGGTTAGTTCATGAGCCCGGCCCATTTCCGAAGGGGTGGCACCTCATTGGCTGCTGGGAAGGTGACCGCTGAGGTGGCCACTGATATGGTGCCACGTGTAGTGACCGTTGGAGAGGAGGTCTATAAATACCCCTCCCCTTCCGACGCGGTAACCTCATTTGCAATCTGTGCCCACAAAGTGCTGCTGAAATTTCTAGAGAGAGAGTCTTTGAGGTGTTTGTTCAAGTGTTCTTCCGTTTCTTCAAATATTCGAAGGTCAGTTCTTCACCTGTTCCTTTCATATTTCATATACTTTGCTTCCTGGGCCTTTGATCTAGTGTTAATAGGGGATTCACACTTAGATCCAAAGTAGAGACCTTTATGGCGTTAATAGTGGTAAGTTGAAGAGTTTGGACGAGGAGTACTACCCCTACGACGACCAGCCCTCCACTAGGTCCCTTGACTACGAGGTGCTTGAAGAGTTTGAGGAGGAAATAGAGCATCTGAGCCCCTATAAGTCCGGAGAGCCAGAGGACGACGAGGGTAAGGACGAGGAGTCTGCCTCATCTTCGGAAGGCGAGGACGCAGGTGCGTCCCGAGTGGTGGACGGGGGCGTCCACTTCCACTGATATTTCGTGCCCGAAGCCGGTGTCCGCCGTGAAGGGAGCAGAGAGGCCGAAGAGGATAAGGAGGCCGAGGAGTGGGCCAGGGTACTCCCACCCGGATCTCACGAATATCTACCTTATCAAGCCGGAGAGCAACGCGGCCGATTACCTAGTCGCGCAAATGTATGTGGGGCCGTTCGGGAGAGTTAGGGCACCCAGGCCGACGGACCATGTACTTAATCCGCCGCCGGGATACTTCGGAGTGTACCCGATGAGCTTCGCCAAGGGGCTGAGATTTCCCCTTCATCCCTTCATCACGGAATACTTGGACATGGTGGGACTTCCTCTGGCTTTGCTGACCCCGAACAGCTACTCGTTGATGGTGGGATTCTTGCTCCGCTGTGAAGAGTTGGGCTACAAGCCGACGACAACTCTCTTCATGAACCTCTACCAGATTGGCCGAGGAAGCCACAAGAACTGTGCGGCCTACGCTACCCTCCAACAATTGCCGAAGAAGAGGAGCTTCACGCACTTGCCTTCGTCCATCCATGGTTGGAAGAGTAAGTTTGTTTTCGTGTCCCTTAGCGAGAACGGCACTGAATTTCCCTCTCTCGGCCATACTGGGAGATTCAATCTGCACGACCCGCCGAAAAGTTCGATCTTGGACGCTCAGGTGGAGGCGTTCTTGGACGGGGGGCCGAGGAGCGTGAAAGATTACATTACCGAATATAAGATGACCGCCCTCGGCTTCTTCAGATATTATGTGTATGGTGACAAGGAGGACGATGCCCAACTGTGGCCGAGGATGACCACTACCTTTGAGGAGGCCGACGGCCCGGATTTGGGCATTCCTGCTGAAGCCGATGGTAATACTTCCTCCGGCTTTCTTCCTTTGTTTTTGTTCCTTTACCTTGCTAACCTGTTTATTTTCCTTTGTGTAGACTTTGTGATGGATCGCCGTTCGATAATGGCCATAGCCAAGGCAAAGGCGGCCGAGGAGCTGGCTGCGAAGGCGGTCGAGGCGGCGAGGCGTGCCGCGGCCGAGGGAGGCGAGGCTGCTGCTGGTGTGGTCCCGAAGCCTGCCCAGTCAAAGAAGAAACGGCCTCCCACTGACGGCCAGAAAAAGCTGACCGAGACTGGTCTGAAGCCCGCCAAGAAGACGAAGAGGGCGCCGTCTCCTTCCCTTGCCGATGAGGTCGGCGTTCTGTCCGTCCCAAGTGTGGACGATGGTGGTTCTGGCGCTGCTGTCGCCATTGTGGATCTTACCGCTGCTCCTTCTAGCGCTGTTGCTCAACCGCTCCCACTCGTCCAGGAGACTCGGACGAAATGGGCTGGCAAGGAGATTGCCACTGCCACTTACCAGAAAGTGGTGGAGTACCCCGTTGGCGGGGGTGTCTTCGATGATGGCGTTGACGGCCATGATGTGCTTGCCCAGGCCATGCCGGCCAAGGATCGGGTCTACCTCGACAAGCTCGGGGACGTCAAGATTTATGACGGCGGGATGGACCTCGTCGTCCAAGTAAGTTCCTTTCCCTTTGATTTGTTGTTTTCCTTGTCGTCTGTGTGAAGTCATTGCCTGAGTTTTGGTTTGCCTTTGTTTTGCTGGGTGCCTTTATGCTCATGGAGAGCCACAAAAGGCAGCAACGGGAGATTGCTCGCCTGAAGGAGTTCGAGCGAAAGGCTGCCTCGACCGATGAGGCGATGGCCTGCTTGGATCGGCTTCGAGAGGATGCCAAAGCTCTGCAGAAGAGAGCCGATGAGGCTGCTGCAGCCAAGGACGATGCCCTGGCCAAGCTTGCGGAGAGCCAGAGGGCACTTGAGGTTGAGCGGCGCAGGACTGATAAGGCCGTGAAGGCTAAGATTGAGGCCGAGGCTGCTGCTGTGAAGGCCACTGATGAGGCCGTCCAAAAATTCCTGGCCGAGGGCTGGAAGGCCGACGAGCGGCTCCCATGGTGCTATGAAGTTGTGGCCGCCAAGCTCGAGGATTGGGGAATGAACTCCCCCGCCAGCCAGGAGTACTTTCAAAGGGAGATGTCCGTGTACTACAACAT